TCCTAAACTTTTATTTTCATTAATGATATTTACTATTTAGAAAAAAAAAATCTTAATGTCCAATCCGGAGTCGCCACGTGGCTCATGATACCGTCTCTTCAGTCTCTCCTTGATAATCCGTCTCACGTGGCCCATGATACAAATCTCTTCTTTTATTAATTTTTTATTCAATTTTTTTTATGATACCCCTATGGTATCAGGGGTAATCTTTTTGCATAATAGGTTAAGGTTTTTATCAAAAAATTTTGGATAGGGGCGTGACCATTAACGTCTTCAGGTTTTCTCCTTTTGATGCAACAACTTTTTCCATCTCTATTTTCTCTAGGCCTGGGCATAAATATTCGTTACTCGACTTGTACCCGTTATTTGCTCCGTACTCGACTTGAAAAAACAAATATTTGTCCCGGTCAAATCGAGTAATAAGTCAACATATTACATTACTTGCAAGTTCGGGCTAAGTATCAAGCCAGTAAAAATTGTTTAGTACTTGGCCCGTTACTCGGCTTGATACTCATTTATATTACTTGGCTTGATACTCGTTAATCATACTCGTAAAAAATATTTCATACTCGTTTATATTACTTGATACTCTCTATTACGTAGTATAGGTAATAATTCATCAGGCCAATAAACTTTTTGTTTTTTGATTCAAGATGTTTGAACTTTGAATGTTTTGTAATTTATATGGAGATTATTTTATATTTAAGTACTTTCAAGTAAAAGTATATAATTTGGTAAGTAACAAGCGATTCAAGTAACTTGCACGTAATAGGATTTTGGACGAGTACTTGATATAACAAGTACTTGCATCGGACGAGTCAAGTATCAAACCGAAGAATCTGTTACTTGAACAAGCCAAGGGGAGTCAAAAGTACTTGAAAATTAGCAAGTACTCGGCCCATGCCTAGGCCTAATTTTTTCCACTCGTGATTCCAACACTTTCCCTCTAAGAACATCTCCAATGGAGAGTTCTAAGAGAGTATATAGGAGAGTTTTTCCTT